TGAAACATTTATTTGAATATCCAGTTCATCTTCAGAATGAGATATTACAAGACAGTTTTTGAAATAAAAACGGACTATGAATATAAGCCATAATGTAACAATGTCACACTCGATGTCACCAAACTGTTCGTGTTTTCATTTATATATCGACGACACTAGTCGTCGACATTCTTTTGATCTCTATCGTCTCGAGAACGGAAACGTAAATTTATAACCAATACTGTCATCGACATGATATCATTCATATTTTTAAGTTGCAATATTTTTGTCGACAACTACGACAAGACATTCGACAAATGTATTTCACAATTGTTTGAATTTAAAATTTTTGAATTTTATCGTTGAATTTTATACATTGACGTATGTTTCCGACAATATTTCGAGCTGAATGAAACTTAACGATCAATTGCGTAGCATTGTTAACAGACTCTTCGACCTATTTATAGTCGATTCTTATATTTAAGATGTCATGAATCAAAGTTGTATTGGTATCTTAAGACATTATTTAAAACGATCTTGAAATAAGAATCGATGATTAGTTAGATCTTTCATCAAACTATATATTCAACAAGAACATTGAAGATCGACATAAGCTCAAGTCTTGCCTCGCATCAAGATGATAAAACTTGATTTTATCGCAATTTTTGTGAATTTCTTTAAAAAAGATTACGATATAATAAAAGCTCTGTAATATCTCGCGATAATTGCATTACAGTCATATTCATTTTAATTAAACTATTGCATTATGCAGTTTATCTTTCTTCTTTTTCTCTTTAGAATGAAAAAAGAAGAAGAAAGATGAACTAATCCAGCCAAAAAGAACAGATTTATGATGTCGCAGCTATAAAAAAACAACGAACGACACGTTTCCTCGATGGACCGTGGAAGTTCGCGTATAGTAGAAATCGAGCGTTAACACAATTAAGTGATTAAAAGGACATGTGCGCTGGACGAAATCGAAGTTTGCCGTTTCCATTCGACATACGCGACATACGTAACGTGAATGAAAACCTCTCGTTTTAGCCTGACGGCGCGGTACAGCATGTCGCGTCGCGTCGCGTCACATTGCGCTGCTGCTCCGACCTGTTTGTAAACTTTTGTACAGCACAATGCATCCGACTGACAAAAGGAGCTCATTGCGCGGCAAACGTTTAAAGGCATTAATTACAGCCGGGCTTTGTGTCAGTCGCAAAAGTTAACAGCTCCGGGCATTATTTTCGTACGCGTACCGCGTTTCGGTTTGCGAGAGCGCACTGTTTGACGTCGTCGTTATTAATCTGCGGCGCGTTTTCCTTTTTGAAATACCGCTTTATTGTCGCGCAACGCTTTTGCGAAATGGTCTCTGTGTTAGTTTTCTATTATATATCGTATGGATATTGGCAAGAGGGTCCATGCAAACAGAAAAGCTTTTCAAGAATTAAAAATAAAAAGACTTGTACATAAAAAATAAATACATAAATGTAAAATGTACATCGTAATTGAAATTGAATTATAAATAATGGAAGAATTAAAAATACACTTCAATATTGAAAGCTAAATGGACAGAGCAAAGTATTATTATACGTAACTGCTTAAAACTAAACAGATAAACATCCCAGGCATACTTATATCTGGACACTTAGATACATAAAATTTATTCTTATTGATTTCAAATGTTTTTTTTATTACAATATTATAATTTAATTGTATTTAAGATTACAATTAAATTATGTTTATTTTTTTTAATATTATATTTAAAAAAATATTGAAGTTTAATAAGAATATAAACAAATATAAAGTTTTGTGTAAATATTCAGATACATGTTCAGTTATTGAATTGTTTACCTATTTCCTCCTATTTTTCAAATTTTTTACGAAACATATATACTGAATCTGTATAAAAGTATTTAGATATACAATTATTAATATGTAAGATTATAAAGAGTTTGTATTTATAGTCCGTTCTTATTTTAAACTATCTTAAGCAATGTTTTAAGAAGTTAATACGGTTTTGTGATTAGTTCATGACATCTCAAAACTGTATTTAAGACATCTTGAATATAAGAACTATGAATACCTTATTTTAAAAGTACTTAAAAGTACTTAAAAAATTACAGATGCAATGGGAATAATAAAACTTTCGGTTTTTTAAAGATTATTTTAAAATACGACAGCCTTGAAATATTTTAAAGTTTTTAAATTACTTTAGATTAACTTTTTACACACTTTAAATTTCTTTTAAGTAAACTCTTAATTACTTTCAAAAATCTTAATTTTATTTAAAGTAAATTTTCTCCAAGATATAGATATCAGAATAAATTTCTATTGTATATATTTTTTTTTTCCTTAAAAAAATCGCTCTAATGGGCTGCAGATAATTCTCCTCATTATATCATTACATTATGTGACTTTTTCTATATTTTAAATGACTATTATTAATCTCAAAATGAGATTAATATTGTTAAAATTAAAGATTATATTATATATGAAACCCCTTTAGATTTTATATTGTTACTTATACATGAAATAATAATTATATTATTAATTAGAATACGCATTAGTTCTATTTTGATAATTTCTAGTTCTATTATTGTATTATTAATTAGAATGCACATTAGTTCTATTTTAATAATTTCTTTGTGTGTAATTGACTGTTACGAAGATGTAGCTACTTTTAATTACTTAGAAAAAATTTTTTCAGTGTAAAATAATAATGACGATGTTAAAATATCTTTTATATCTTTAAGATCCAACATTAGTTAATTTTCAATCCAATTCAATTCAAATTAGTATTAAAGCGTCAACATAACGTGCGTGATATTTCATGTGGAAGTAAAAAAAAGTTTTTCATTAAATGATTTCTAAGAATGCTTTCAACAGCTTTATGTTTTTTAGAAATAAAAAAAAACACTTATTTTAACACTATATATTGTAACTATAATTCACAAAAGAATTATCTCACGAAAGATAGGTAGGATATAAGTTAATAATGATATTCTATATTTCTTAGAAGGTGGAGCTGTCATGACTTTGACTAAAATGTTACATATCAAAATCAATCGCAATTATTAAAGAAAAACGGTACACTAACATAATAATTTTGTAATCAATTTTTCATCAATTCAATTTATGCTTCTCGAAACATATGTATAAAATACGCGACTTTAAAAAAATAAATGAGACATAACATTTATTCTTTTTGTGACAATAGTTTCTTTAAATGCGTATATAATGAACAACTATTATGATGTTCATTATATATGAATATGTTATTATATATCAATATGAATATGTATATAACGACAAATTAAAGATTTATACTACGCAACAAGTTACAAATAGCTTATAATGTCGCTGGACTATTAACCGGATATCATGTAACGAAGTTATATTCGCAAAATGGAGAAAACCATTCTTTGTTTTCTCAATTTGTTCGAACGTGATACAGTCTACTCGATTACGTATCATCACTCGAGAGAATTAACGCATGAAAGATGCATTAATTGGGCAGTTACGAGTTTCCTGGTCGAGCTCAGTGATACTACATTCTCATTTATTAGCGCATTTATTTGTAAAGCCTAAAATGCGACCCCTGAAATTCAACAAGTGCCCCTCGAATCTGAAGCGAGAGAGTGAACGGACGTGAGAACGCAGCCAACCAACATCCAACCTCTATTACGTGCATGACGCGACTGATCCTAGGTGGACTGGGGGATCTGGGGGAGAGGGAGGGCGCGGGAGATAAAGGATCGGTGGTGGGAGAGGGAAGGAGAATCGGGTAGGACTGGGTAGGACGGTCGGCGAGTGGTGGGGGTCGGAGCGAGCGGAAACTTCGGGTCAGTTCGTTCGGCGTCGGCCGCGTCCGGGGTTTCTGGTTTCTCCCGCGGCCGCCTAAAGCGGTGTCAGCGTGTGCGCAGAACGGCTGCGCAGCAGGCGTGTGCGTTGTCCAGATTCTTTGTGCCATTCCTGGCATACCAAAAACACGAGAGTGACCGTCCTCGTATTTACCCGTGGTGCAGTACCGCGCGCCGATATAACGCCGTGCGAATTTACCTCCGCGAAAATAAGGGCCGTTCTCGCGCTCGCGCGTGTCCCGCCACGTCACACAGCTCAGCCAAGTGGTAAGTAACACGATATAATGAAAGTTACATTGCTTCCAAGCGCCGTACGCGAGCGAGCGCGTCCACGCCCGTGTGCTGTGGATGTCCTGACGGTGGCGTCGTCTCGCAACAGGCCCGCGCAAAGAACGAGTTCGACTGCAGCGACGATGGCGATATTACCCGCAGAGAGAGAGAGAGAGAGAGAGAGAGAGAGAGAGAGAGAGACACGGACAGACCGACAGGCGAAAGAGAGTGAAAGAGTGACAGAGGGAGCGAGAGAGACCTCATATGTGTGCGTGAGAGAGAGAGAGAGAGAGAGAGATAAAAAAATTGACGTAGCGCGCGGATTTCTATTCTTCGAGAGTGCTTCACTGAACAAAGCTGAGCGAGTGAATAGCCGGCGCCGTTATTATCCGCTTCGCGACCGATACTCGCGCGTTTAGCTTGTCACGCTTGTACGGTACTTCCGCTCGGCCGTGGCGATCATCCGCCGTCGCGATCCGCCGTTGCTCCGAGGTAAGACGGAAACACGGGCGATGCACATAAGGAGAGAGGAAGAAGAAAAAAAAAGAAAAAAAAAAGAATGCGAAAGAAAAATCATCTCGTCATCACGCGTTTGAGAAAGAGAGATGTTCATTCGACCGACGTATCTACTCGGTAGAGGCCTGTTTACATCGTGCATCCAGCCTTCTCGTGCTTTTCGCGTATAATCGGAATCATACATGGGCTCTCGCGTGTTTACAAGCGTGCCATATCATCCGTGTCAGCTGTGCGCGTACGAGCGATTCGCAGCGCAGAGCGCGACGCTACGTGACGCGACGCGGCTCACCTCACCTCACCGTCGAGGTTAGGGTAACTCTCCTCTCGCGGTCATCACTTGAACGGGTGGTGTGTGCCGGTGGTATGGGCTGCGTGCGCGTTTCCTCGTTGCCGGCGCGACGCGCGAGCGGGGGCGCCGTAACAGAAACGCGTGCTGCTCTCTCCGCCTAGTCGCCTGTCCGCCAGCCCGCTCGTTCGCTCGCTCGCTCGCTCCTGTCGTTCTATCCTCTCGCCCGCTTCTGGTGAATTCGTATGGTGAATTATTGATCCGCGGCGGCGTGTGCGTGCGGAAAAACCGCCGTTGGTTGGAAGAGAGGAAGAGGGTAGAGAGTAGGGGGTAGAGAGAGAAAGAGAGAGAGAGAGAGAGATAGATAGATAGAGAAAGAGAGAGAGCGTCGATTGAGCAGAGAGGAGAGAGTAGGGGGGACGGAGCTGAAGCCGCGGAGTGGCGCATGGCGGTGGCGCGAGAAAGCGCTTAAAGCGAGCACACGTACGGGGTGAGACGTGCGCTGGTTGGTGTGTTGGTTGTATATTGTTTTGAAAAGTGTCGCGGCGCGCGCGGACGCACGCGACGCATCACGTCACGTCACATCACATCACATCACATCGCGTCGCGTCACATCGGATCCCATCGTATCGCATCGCATCGCATCGCATCGCATCGCGTCGAATCGCTGTGCCTCAGTCGCGAGACTCGCGAGGCGCCAAGTTGAATCGGAGTACATTGGCAAGATCGTGTCTCTCAGTCTCTAGACGAAAGTATAGAGCGAGCGAAGTGTACATCCTTTGTGTCGCCTCCTTTGGTTGTCCATAACACGTAATAACGGTGTATACGTCCATCGCCTCGAGCGTTGAGTTTCGTTTTTCCGTTGCGCGAATTACTTCATCCATCCGTCCATGCGTGCGTAAACGCGAGACGGGAGCGAACGCGGGAAAAGCGTGCGTGGGTAATGCATGCGAGAGGCGTCGCGGCGCGACGCGCGACGAGGAAGTTATTCGAGGGAGACCGGTGAGTACCGAGTGTCGCGGAGTGACGAGAAACCGAAGGAAGGTAATCCTTTCCGTGATCTTCGTGCCCCGAAGACGGGACTGTGAAATTGCGAGGGACGCGTGAAACGACGTGTAATCCAATCCAACCCGGGGGGTCAGGAGTGTCAGTAGTGTATTGTCGTCGTCGGACTACGCCGACGACGACGGAGAAAAGGTGGAGGAGAAGATCAGTGCCGTCGCGCGGAGGAAACTTGAGGGGAAACCCGACGTTTTGTGTCGTTTTGTCGTACGATCGCTGCTGAACGCGCTCCGATAATCCCGGAGGAAGGCAACGTCCTATCTTCGCCACCGCGGGGCTTGGATGGATACTGTGCATTATTTCTGGAGTGAGTTTCTCTTTTTATTTACTGTGTATGCGTACGTGCGTGCGTGCGTGCGTGCGTGCGTGCGTGCCTATGAGCGAATGCGAATGTCCCCTCCGTCGCCGTCGACACGTACGAGCACGTATGAACGCGAGAGTGTTCCCCGTAACGACGTACGCAGCAGCCCGCGGTTTTTCTGCGGATGGATCTCTCTTTCTCTCTCAGCCGAAGCAGCGGAACTTCTCTTCCCCGAGTCCTGTTACTCATCGCGATCGCACTCGAAGCCCGAACGAACGAACAGCTGCATGCGTGCCATCATCGCATCCATTGTTTATGTGTCTTTACTAAGAGACAGGCGCGCACCTGACCGAACGGCTAAAACACAAGCGTGGCGAACTCGTTACTTTTAGCCTGTCGATGCCTTTTCGAGAAGTTTTAAGCTCGCACGGGGCCTTTAAACTCGTTTGAAGGTGCTCGAAATTTGTTGATAAAAGAACGAAGATGAAATTCATCAAGTAAATCTGAGCGATATTTGTGTTCCTTTCTAATGCTGTTTTTTTTTTATATTAATTAGAAAATATAATATTAACTCAGAGAGACAACACGTATTGTCTAGAAAAATCTTCTTATGATATCTTTTGCGAATTCGGTTGGATGCACTAATGCATATTAAAGCCGTTGTACACTGATTTAATTTGTGTAAAAGTAAGATGCGAATATTTCAAATTATAAAATACAGATTTTACTTAACAGCAATGTATCGAGGATTTCATGATTCAATATTAAACACACATTGTTATGTCAATTTGTGTATGATGACTTTAGGGTGTATCTATGCGTGTTGAATGCATCCAATCGAATTCGCTATTAGATGTCTTTTAGACATGCATGTCTCAAAAGATGTCTCTCTTGATGTCTTTTGGACATGCATGTTGTTTAGAAAATATTTGTGACGAATTGCGGAATTTTTAAAATATAATTCGCGCAGATGATCAGGATAATAAAAATGTATTCAGGGTGCGTTTATGCGTAAAATATAATCCATATCTACGTGTATACAATGTAAACTATTGCAAATTGTGTTTTGTGTATCTATGTGAACAATCTATTATGGTCATCGAAGACTACGTTTTTTGTCATTGCATTGGACTGCGTTAAAGTTTTTTTATCTTGCTTTTATCTTGCATATCTGATGTGATAATCTTGAACTTGCTGAGAGGGTCCTGAAGCATCTTCATCACTTGTCATACCATTATGAGCGCGCGAAATGTCAGCTTTGCGATTAGAGAATTTTAATCGCTTATAATTTAAGAATTATTATACCCTCGACATTTTATATTATAGGATTTTTTTCTACAATTCATGTTCCAAAGAATCAAAAAGTTCTTGAGAAAATTCGGTGGTTTTGAAACACCCTGTAAATTAAATATTTTTATTTATCAATACTAAAGTCAAATGTATTATTGATCAGATAATTATAAAACTTAATTACTTCTTGTATTGTATTATTCAATTTATAATAATTTACATATTTTAATATGAGAAAAGTAGCTATAAGAGTCTCTGCGGTTGTCAGTGCGTAAATAATATATTCAAATAATAAGGTGAAAGGATGCGATTCCAACAATTAGAACGTATATAATGAACAAATCATTTACAAATGTTTTAAACTTCGGATTTGAGTCCTCTTTAGTGAGGAAATAAAGTACAAAACTAAACTACACTATCAGTGTTTAGTTTGTACTTTATTTCCGCACTAAAGAGAATTCAAATCCGGAGTCAAGACATTTGTAAACGATTTTGTTTATTATATACGTCCTAATTATTTGCGAATCGCATCATTTTTACTTTATATACATAAATAAAAGGAACATTCAGCCACACACAGGATGTTTTTTTATGAATGTCATATATTTTAAAATCGTACATTAAAAATATAAAATCATAAATGTTTCGGTTATTAGGTCTTCAGTATGTTGTATAATAAAATTAATTATAAATTAAACGATTCGTTGTCATAAAGTAAAAATAATTACAAATTAACAGATAGTTCGTTGTTATATACAATTATGCAAATTATTAAAATATATAATTTACTTTATCATAATATGAAATTTTTTTAGTTTTACAATATATAAATAAGTTATTTACGCACTGAGGCGTAAATAACGAATCGCGGAGACTCTTATAGGCACTTTTTTTTATATTGAATTTATTTTTGAAACCACAAACTGTTTAATTTAATTACATATTTTACACTGTATTATCTACGTGAAAAAGATTTATATAAATTTAACGTAAACAATACGTAAATATTATTCTATGTAAACGTGATCTCGAAATATATGGCACAATATTTTGCAGCATGTATCTATCAGTTGCAAGCAAAACGTCGGACGATAAGAAAAGCGGATTATATCTCGAAAGGTACACTTCTTTCGCGAGCAGGTTTTAAGATTAAAACCACGCGCAGATGGATGTCACGTTCTTTCATCGATCGTCCGCTCTTATCGAGCGGAGAAAAATCGTTTCCTGAGGATCGATCACGCCAATCTGATTTTACTCTTCGTTTAATCTTCGTTTAATCTCGTCGCGACGACGGCGGCGATTAATTCGCGGAATTATCGCGTCGCGTTGAGCTCGTTGGAACGTTTTCTTGAACTTTTGCGAGATCTGGCAGGTGGAAAAGGCACGTAATCGTATAATCCGAATCGCGGCGCTAATTTCGCGCGAACGAACGATGAATCTTGGTGCAATCTCCTTCGTCGGAGCGTGACCGGCTGCTAACGAACGTGAAAGGAAAAACATTGAACGACAGTCAGTACGCGGATTTATTAGTTGGCGATGTTATTACATCGAGTTATCGAAAATAATTTCGTAGGCGAGCGCGGCGGTTATGCAACATTACATAAATTTAATCCGATAACTCGTCTCGTGTTATCGCAAAGGCGGAAAATCGGGCATGGGTACATGTAGTGACGCCACCAATTTAACGAGTTGCCAATGAACGCTTACTTAATTCAATGCCTACACCTGAACGCAGATACCACTCGTTATTACTTTACAGATATCGATATGCCTCGGTATCTCTAGTGATAATCCATAAATTTATTGTGACAATTAATTGCACAGAATGTGTGTGTATCGGTAGCCGATTCGTAATTTATATGTACCTAACTAATTAGCGCACTATACTTGACATTTCAGAATTATCTTCGCAAAATATAATCTTAATCTTTTGATTATTCATATTTTCTATTTGATAATATTTTTCGTATGTCGATAGAGATACTACTCGAAGGGAAAACGCTGAGAAATTGTTGATTAATTGTCTGTGTTATGGAAATATTGCAATATACGCTGTTAAATAAATGTCACTTAAAAAAATCGATTCTGCATCGAGCACGTATTGACTGTTTTCTGATTAAAGCACCGAACTCGAGTTTTTCTTCTCGAAACGAAATTTCCCTTTGGTCCCGTTTCAGGGTTTCAGAGTCGTTTGCGTCATGGTCTTACTTTCGCGCGCCTTCAAAGTTTGATTGCGAACTCGCAATCAAGAGAATTTCCCTTTGACCCTTTGCGAATTAGTTGCGAGTTAGTTACGTTCTTATATTTTTGCTCACCTGGGGAAAATTGTAGTTCCATGCGCCACATTTAATTTCGCCTGTCTACGGCCATTCGACGCGAGTCGATGACGATGAATAATGTAACTTAAGATTACTGATACTTGCATTCGATACGATATTATCCGCGCGATCTATAAATATCGCGTGTCCTTTGTTTACTGTTCAAAGATAAGCGCGACTTGACGATTGTGCAGCACGTATTCGTGTGTCGTCGTCGAACGGCCGGTATCTATGCGTAGTTGATAATTACGGCCGCGATAAGAATCCGTGTTTTGCCAATAATCAGCAATTTTTCTTTTTCGATGGACGTGATTTAGGCCACTATTAAGTAATTCTTAACGACAGTAATAATATTATATTATCGTTGCGTAGCTTTTTTAACATATATAAAATCTGCGAAACGACAGTGTAATGATATCGTTACTGTCATTAAGAGTTACAAAATACGAGCATTAATCGCGAAATTGTTAAGGCTTCAATGATGATGATGTAACAGCTCCGAAGTATAACAATAATGATATATAATTCTTACAACGTGGCTTTTTCGGATGTGCACGTGCGTTTCATTATATTTCACGTTTAAAGACTGATTACGTTGCAAAAATTGTGTGGTTACTGCTCGGTCGTGCGGATAGAAAGGACAATTCTGTAATCCGAATCGAATGCCAATGTCTAAATGAATCGAGGTGCACTGCCTTTGTTATAAAAGCGTTGATTATACATCGAAAAGTGTTATAAATATTTATTAATGCTTGTGTGTTTCTATTATTTTTCACATATCGCATTACGTTTTCTGTTTTCAACGTGCAATCGGAAATTTCTCGAAAAACTGCCGTCACGAGAATTATATCGAGCTGCAACATTTTAATATCCGCCTCGCAGTATATATATATATATATATATATA